TACTTCTCATCTGATCATTGAGTTTATGGTCTCAGTCGCTGGTTTCAAGTCTTCTTCAACACAAAATAGACGATAATGCAGCGTATGCTTTTTGGGCGGGACAACCTTGTGACTGACAGGTCGCTACCATGGCAACCTGTCAGTCAGGATAGAGGCGACTCGTGTCCGCTGCTCTGTGTACATTCTTTTATTAAATGTCTGTCAGCAGGAGAGAGAGTTTTGTTTTAAAAGTAAATTGTTTTGTTACCATTTTTATTTTTTATAATTTTAATTGTGATATTTTAGTTTTTTTATTTCCAGGATGTATTTAATAACCGATTAAACATGTTAACTGTAGAACATAACTTCTAAGTCTTTGGTTTTGTTGTAACACTGATAAATAACTTTTGGAAGGAGGTCCAGTAAGTTTTAAACCAACTGGCCCAGTGGGGCCGTTTGCAAAAAGGTTTAACATTGAGCTCTGTAAATATCTGGAGCTGTTGTGGACGTTGATGACACAGACAGTCCCTGCTACCCCTGTTTGCTGTTCCATTCTTTCATCCGTAATCTTTGTCTTTGTAACTTTTATCTTAGAGGTTTAGGGGGAGCAGGGAGAAGCAGGCCAGATGAACATAATGTGTAAATGTGTATGAGAGGAATGTAATGTCCATGTTTGATGCTGGTCTGACCCCCCTCTCTTCTTTCAGGGTGGAGCCTGCTGGAGTCCGATGGTTGAAACCAGGTCTGAGGAAGTGTAAGTGTGTTTTTCATGTGATTCATGAAAACAAAACAGCAAACATTCAACAAATATCTGATGACAATCAGTGAACAGAGGATAGATCAATAACTGCAGCTGTTCTCTCCATCAGATTCCTGTGAACTCACACTCGACATAAACACAGCAAATCAAAATACCAAGCTGTATGACAACAACAGGAAGGCGACACATGTGCGGGAGAATCTGTATATCCTGATCATCCATACAGGTTTGAAACCACTGGTCTCAGGTGATGTGTACAACTGGTCTGACTGGTCGCTGTTACTGGGAGGTCGAGTGGACAGAAAAAGTTACTGTAGCAATGAGTTACAGAGGAATCAGCAAGAGGAGAAGCTCTGAATACAATTATTTTGGAGGGAATGATAAGTCCTGGAGACTGGACTGCTCTACAGATGGTTACTCTGCCTGGCACAATAACAGAGGAACATCCATCACCTCCTCTGTCTCTAACAGAGTAGGAGTGTATCTGGACTGGCCTGCTGGCTCTCTGTCCTTCTACGAGTCTCCTCTGACACACTGATCCACCTCCACACCTTCAACGCCACATTCACTGAACCTCTTTATCCTGGCTTTGGGCTCTGGTTCAACCCTTATTCTTCAGCGTCTCTGTAGGAGGGAGAATCTGGTCCTGTTGGAGAACAGATCAGTTGAGTCGTACAGGATCACAGTTGCAGAGGTCTTTCAGGTTCTTCTTATAAATTCATCAATGAATCAAAGTGATTCCTCATTTACATTGTTAACATCGTCCACTTCTGGTCCTTTAAAGATAAAAGCTCTGATCATTAAATGATGGAAATGATGTTGACTTGTACCTTCTGCCCCTTTAATATCCTTCTGATGTTTTTGAATGTGGTTGTTTTATCTTAACATTTATAATTTTTTTGCTTGCTGTATGTCATATCTATATATCTCTATATCTATATATCGATCGATCTATCTATATATCTATATCTAAATAGCTATATGTATATAGCTGAGCATGTGCTGTGTATCATAAAAGGGCTAAATGTCCAATTGTTAACAAAATAAAGAATGTCAGAGCTCTTCTTTATTTGTAAAGAGACCAGTTTTTACATTTTAGGCGGATTTCAGAATGAGGGACTGACTGAACCTGCAACAAGGGATACAATTGTCAGAAACTACTTTTGATGATGGTGTCATTGTAATTAACGTACAGTAATAAGTGACAGTTAAATACAGTATTTTAGTTTTTTAGTTTTTACCTGTTAAGCCTTTCAGTACAGTAATGTCTACTCTATTACTGTAAAGTTTAAACAAATCAAGTGCAAATATAAATAAATGTGTGTATAAGCTGGTACATGATAGAAAATTTATTATGTGTTATTATATTATTTGACAGATTCTGAAGTTTGATTACATTCTGTTCTGAAAATCCACCCTGAATCCACCCTTCTGTTGGGATCAGGATTATCCTGATTATTTTGGATCAAAGGGATCCCACCAACTAAAAACACATACTGAAGGTTTGATCCAGATCAAAACAAAGTTAGGATCAGGTGATCTTTTTCTTTTGAACAACCCATTTTCAAGATTTGATCCAATCCAGTCACTTCTGAACATCTGGGCCCGGCTGTCTGAATGGGAGCAAATCCCTGCAGCAGGTTCAACATGTGCTGGAAATCAGGTGTCCACATACTTTTGGCCATATAGTGTATTACAGCTTGAGACATTTAGTCACTGTGTTTTGCCCTTAAAGTGTTTGCGGCCTTCACATTTATGAAACTGTGCAGATTGTAGAATTCTTGTGTTTTCAGCTCTAATAAAACACTTTGTAAAGTAAAGTGGTGGTGGAAAGTTTTTATATACAGTCTATGCATGAGTCTATGGGTGGAAAGTGTTTTGATTTTTCTTTTTAAAATAAACAGTAATTACTTTGAAGTATTTGTGTGTTTAAAATACACAATAATGTGTAATATATAGGCTAAATAATTATGTTTGGGTGTGAAATTGGGTTCCTGCTCATCCACTGATCTCTTCTGGGGCGCCGGAGAGAGAAATTAAGCCAATCAGCGTCCTCAAATCTGATGCCTGCAGGACGCTGCAGGATCTGCTCCAAGACAGTCAGTCGGTGTTAGAGGGACACGTGACGATGTTATTGATATTGATATATTGATGATACTGACGATGATCTTAAGACAGCTACCGTTTTCAAAGGCACCTCAAAGACCGTGCAAAAAGAACTTTTGGACTGCATGCTGTCAGTTCTTGAAATCTGGAGGAAGTAAAAACTGTAGATTATCTTGCTCTTCAGGCAGATGAGACAGCTGACATCTCCACCCTCTGTCAGCTGGTGCTCGTGCTACGGTACATCGACAAGGAGAACAACAGCTGTTGGCTGCAGAGGCAAGCTGGAAAGTTACAGGCAGCTCTGAAGTGTTAAGATGAGGTTATTTCCAGTGGTGGACAGTAACTCTGTGTTTTATATAAACAGTGTTGAAATATAGGTGGGTAAAATACTTTTTGAGACTCTTAATTACTAATATTATAATTACTCTTAGTAATTTTTGTAATATGAAATAGTTATCGTCCACACATGCTACATTTTCCCAAGCATTTCTGAAGCCCAAGTCTGAAATATAGAAGTACCAAGACATTAAGAGGGGACAGAGCCTTTGCAGTTAGGACACCGAGGCTCTGGAACAATCTACCCGAGGAAATTAGGCCGACTCTGTAAACTCTTTTAAATCCCTTGTTAAAAAATACTTTTATCGAAGAACATTCCCGGATTTTACATGATTTTATTTGATGTATATTTTGAAGTGACTTTTTTTTTCTTGTATCGTTTTTGTTATAACTGCTTCATGTTAAGCACTTTGTAACGTTTTTAAAAGTGCTCTATAAATAAAGATTATTATTATTATTAATGTGTGTATATAGATATATAACTAGTAGCTTAGCTCACTACATTTTCCAAGTAGCTTTCCCAACACTGATCATTATTTGGTGGAAATTTCTTTGACTTTTACCGTCTTGTCATTTGTTGTTTTGACTTATTTTGTTCCAATAAAAGCAGAGTGTTACTGTGAGTGTTTGTTGTCTTTCTCAGGTCAGGACCAGGGAGACTGATAGGATTTTTGCAAGGCTGATACTGATTATTAGTAGTCAAGTTGGCCGATATTTGGAACCGCTATGTATTTGTCGTAAAGGTGAAATCTCCAACACAAACGTAAACATTTTTTAAAATAAAGAAGAAGTCACCCTCTTCTTCCATCTTGCTTTAATATTCTGGGTATAACCTCTTTCACATGACTGATATGTTTATCTTTTATTCCATGTGTATATTTCTATGATTATTTCATTGCCTATTTAGCACATGTCTAAAATCAATCAGTCTGTCACACACATATGTTGGCAATAAGGTTTCAAAATGTTGAAACTTTCCTTTGAAAGGGTGAATCTCATAGTGTATTAGTTTTTTACAGGTTTGAAACCTTGTAAATGGTGGTCAGAAAACTCTTATGTGCTCTTATGTTGGAAAAAAGATTTGAAACTCTGAAAATTAACTGAGGATCTGAAAAAATGCCGGGAGGCAGGGCCATTCTGCTCTTGGCCGATGCTCGGCTGTCTGCTGAAGTACCGTCCAATCACAAGGCGTATTTCAGGAAGCACTTCTCCCTGGACGGGCTGGCTGACTGAACCAGTGGTGAATAAGAAATAGTATAAACAACATGTAATTAGTTAAGCTATGAGGAGATGAAGCTGAAGCTGAAGCTAATGATGGTCAACGAGACAAATCCTGACAGTTATTAAGCCGAATTTTATGATTTTGTTAAGTGTGATTGTTTTAGACCATGTTTATGTGTGGTCGTGGAGGCAGAGAGGATTTCTGGGAGTCTTCATTTCTTTAAACTTTATTTGAAGGTGCCCTCTGTAGACAGAACGTATGTGGTCTAACAAATGTGTTGAATGCTTTTCCCTCCTCATAAAACATTTCCACAAGTGGAAGTTTATTTGATTAATTGATTTACTAGCTGCTTGGTGGTGCATTACTGTGACCAACTGTCATTTAACCTTTACTACACCTTCCTCTTTCTCCTGTAAGATCTAAGAGCTGCTGTTTCCTGTCAGGCTGCGGCAAGTAAACAAAACGTTACAACACAAGTTAAAATTTATTTTTTATACTATTTTAATAGAATGCAGTTTAAATGGTGATGATGAAAAAACAGTGGGGACAATATGACCTGGAATTATTATTATTATATCACAGATTTTCAATATTTCCCAGCTGTAAATAACACTTCTAATGACATCATTCATTAAACTAACTTGGACCTGGACAAGTTTGACTGTTAAGTAACGTGTCTGTCCCAGTGAGCTCTTCACATTTGAGAAGTTCTAGTTTGGAAAAGGATTTTTCAGCAGAGGCCACACTCACTGGGATTGTTAATAAAGCAGAAGAACAGTGCAGACTACCCCAAAGCTTTTCAGAGGCGGTCTCTGAAACACCTGGGAAGGACAGGAGCTGCGTGGGAAATGTCCAGGTCATGTCACTTTTGTAAATACGGCATCTGCTTGCTCAGAAACTGTTGGCGTGCACAGTGTTTCAGGCTGTAGAAGATAGAAAGTAACGTTACTCCTCCTCATCATCACTGAGGTGGATGGTGCGATGCTGTTGCTATGGCAGCAGCTGCCCCCTTCGGCTCTTGTCGCTAACAGCTCGTGTTGCTGCCATCCCGTCTGTCTTTTTAAGGAAAATTAATATTTTGTTATATGAATCTTTTCTTTTCTGAAACCCACTTCTGTGTTCGTTCATATCGAGTTAATTTCCCGGTTGCTGTCATTTCACCAGCTAGCTGCTCTTTTGTGTGGAGTTGAAAATGACCCAGAATTCTGTGCGGGCCCACACTGCTCATCTTTAATCTAAAATCTCCCATGAATTCATCCTTGTTTAAACTGAATGTAGATACTATCTGCAGTCTGTGCTGCCCTCCTCTCCCTCTGGGTTCTGTCTCTGCAAACACAAAGCTGCAGAGGCAGAGCGCCGTCTGCTGGCTGCAGTCATCATCACTTTTTCAAAGCATTTGTTAACAATGTTCTGAAAAATAGCAACAAGAAATGTTAAATAACAAACGAAAATGCTTTTAAAAGGTTTATTTGCACAATAAGATGCAAAGCACTTTAAATATAAAGAAAAAAAATGCAAAACAAGCTGCTGATTGTGCATCATCACGTCTGCTGAGCTAAGACTCCTCTAATCTGAGCCCTTATGTCTCCACCACCTTTCAGCACAACGGCCTTGCAAGTCACATATAAAATATGTTGTTTCATCGTCTAATGTTTGATCATGATTGTTTCACTGTTCAGATATTTGATGTTCTGACACCTGCACAGAAACAAAGTCCTTAACATGTGAATCAGGGACACAATCTAAACTAGGGACTGAACTAAAACTATAATCTAACTAAAGATAACACAGAAGCATTATAAATAAATAATCTATGAACCGTATTTAACGACATTCCCCTGGCACCTTTACATTTTAATCTAAATGTCCTCATGCAGCCTGTCTAAAGGTTGAACTGAATTTTTCTTTGCAATTGCCGCGAGATCAGTCCTTGATCTCAGCTCACAGTGAGCTCACGCAGGTACAATGTGTCCGACTTTACGGCTTTTATACCCGCCCCTGCGGTCACCTGCAGCTCGTTATGCCGCCGTCATCTCGAACGCACCTATTGTCTGCAGTAGCCTGTTTGTTGATTCACCTGAGCAAACACCTGTTTCTTCCTGTGGACGTTTCCAGGCGCCACGAGGGCAAAAACAAAGTGGGAATAAAAACAGGATGTGACTGAAACTTCATCAGTGAAGAAATGTGGATGGTTGAAAGCTCCGGTAGGTGATGAGTGACAGCTGGACGGCTGGAAGGTAAAGCTAACATGCTAACTGATCAGCTGTAGCTGCTGCTCACAGTTACTCAGGAGAACTCTGCTGATGGAAGCTGATTTGACCATTCCTGGATGAAATCACCTGCCTGGGATCAAAGACAGTGAGAGCAGCTGATGTTGGGGAGGACAGACAAATTGCTGAAATGCTAAATTATTATTGATGCAGTCAAAAACTCTCCAACCTCTTTGCGACCAGAAGCTTTTTGCTTTTTTAGCCAGTGGTGAGCAAAGTAACACAGGCCTGTTCAGATCCTTTAAGACAGAAATAAAAGTACACACTGTAAAATACTGCAGTGAAAAGTTAAATAAAGGTATGTAAGTAGGCTGTAAGCTGGAAAATGTAGAAGCAGCCAATTAAAAATAAAAGTAGCTACTCAAAGCAGAAAGAAAACTGTCCCATATGACTGTTGTACTATTATATACTATATCATTAGATTATTATTCCTCGTGCATTAATGTAGCTGGTTGAGGTTGAACTATTTGTATCAGACTGCAGTTAATGAGGATTTTATTTTAATCAGCTGATTATTTTCTCCATTAATCGACTGTAATAAAGTAGAAAATGGCATGAAAAGAAAATACTCAAGTTCAGAACAAATACCTTGTGTACTTCAGTCCAGTACTACTTTCAAATATTTAACACACCTCAGACTCAGTGACTCAGCAGCAGTTTTCCTTCTCTCTGATAGAAAGTGACTTCTGCTGCTGGAGCTTCCACATAACAAGTAAACATTGTAATATAACTGCTTTCTCACACATGGTTCACTATTGTTACAAAACACATTGTGCAGAATTTTCTGATCTATAGCTTGATTTGTTTCATTCTACATGCAATTATTATGCATTTATAGCGCCTCCTAGTGGTCAATTTTAACGAGAGTAAAGCTGATGATACACGG